TGGGCTGAAATCTCTGACCATTTTTTTGACCTGAGCTGGGATACTTGAAGTCTGCTCCACATATGAGTAATTAAGTAGTCATCCAGATATTTGGGCAGATTTTATGTGCAGAATTTGTGGCTATTCTTCCATAGCTCTCTCTTTTTTAGATTCTACCCACCTCCTCTCTCCACACACATTTTCAGAGGGAGTGGTTACCCCAAACTCTGTGTTCTGATTTGTCTACCATAAAACTGCTGATTTCTATCTGACCTTTGTTAAACCATGTGGCACCAACTAAGGCCTGTCCTCAGATGAAAATCTATAAAAATGGTAAACTCACCAAGTGTTCTTTCCTCCTTTCATGTCTTGACTTCCCTACATTTTCTGCCTTCTCTCCACTTTCTTCTGCACTCTCCAATTCCTTCAGAGAGCTGTTTTTATTAAATTGTATCCAGTATTTTTATTTGTTATGCATTAGAGAGATGGGCCAATGCAAGCTACTTCACCATTACTGGAAGTAGAACCTATAGTCCCACTTTCAGTTTATGTAATTTTGTCATATTTTGATGAGCTTTGTCTAAAAATTTTGCTCAAAGAAGGATATATAAATAAACCTATCAAGAAATGAATGAATCAACCCCAGTACCAGACTACTCCTACCAGAGTATCCTAGGTACTTGCTACTCAATGTGTAGTTGAGGACCAGCATTGACATCACCTAACATCTTGTTAGAAATGCAGACTCTTCAGTCCAACCCCACATCTACTGAATCATACTGCATTTTAACAAAATCTGCAGGTGATTCATATGCACATTAAAATTTGGGAAGTACTTTCTTCAGTAATTAATTGGCATTCTGGAGTAACAGAGAGCAAATGCTAGACACATCATAATCCCTATTTGGTGATGTCCATCACTTATTGGAACCTAACACACATCATCTTCCTGAGATAATTTGAGTAGTTTTGTTTGCTCCTCAGTTGCAAGCATTACATCCAGATTGGCTGCCATCCCATAGCCATACTCATGTTGTACTCTTAACTAGCTGCTTGGCTCCCTGTATTATTCTGAAGCCTGATACTCACACCTAGTGTGCCCCACCAAAGAAAAAAAAGAAAGAAAGATGTGTAATGCCTTTGATCCACGCATTGTCACATTTATTTTTCTCTTTGAAATTCTGTCTTCTCTCTGCCTTCATAGTTGTGTTTTGCTTGCAATGAAATCACTTCTGAACTAAAACAGTTGCCCTCTTAAAAGCCATGCAATGTAATTCTGAATCTCTGTGACATGGTTCTACTCTCAGAAATATAGTGATCACAGGTCAGGTTTCCCAGTAATAGACTCTAAAGCAGAGGCTTGTATACAGGTCATTTATTGTGAAGTGCTCTCAGGAACAACATTTATAAAACAGTGAACGAATCAAGACTGAGTAGAGAGAGAAGATAAACTGCAATATAACTGGAACAGAGAACTTGGATGATTTCATGAGGGGCTCTGGAGCTAGAATGGCCCTTCAGAATTATTTCAAATTTGGACATGGAGGAGCGGTCCTCATTACCACCCCCCACACCACTGTATGACGTTTTCTATTGCTACATAATAAATTACCACAAATTTATTAGCTTAAAACAATACAAATTTATTACCTCATAGATCAGGAGTCTGGGTACAGCAGACCTAGGTTATCTGCTCAGGGTCTCACAGGGCTAAAACCAAGGTGTTGGCTAAGCCGTGTTCTTGTCTAGAACTCGGGATTCTTTTATTATTATTATTATTATTATTATTATTATTATTATTATTATTATTATTATTATTATTATTATTATTGAAAAGGAATTGATTGACATATCTGTGGGGTACAGAATTAAATATCCATACCTGTGTTAGAACTCAGGATTCTGTACCAAGTTTATTCAGGTTATTCACAGAATTTGGTTCCTTGTGGTTGTACAACTGTCCAGGAGTTGCTCTCAGGTCCAGGCCAAGTGGCCCTCTTATAACACAGCACCTTACTTCTTCAAAGTCAGAAGGAGAATCTCTCTGATTTATTTTAAGGGCTCACCTGATTAGATCAGAGCCACTCAGGATACTCTCATTTTGATTAACTCAAGTCAACAGATTTGGGACCTTAACTACATCTGCAAAATCTTTTCTGCCATATATCAGTAACACAGTCATGGGAGTGCTATTCCATCATACTCACAGGTTTCCTAACATTCAAGGGAGGATTATATAGAGCCTGTACACCAGGAGGTGGGAATCTTAGGGTCATCTAAGAATTCTGCCTGCCACGCCCAAAATGAGAAGTCATTAGATGCAGGCTGCCCCTGCCTAGAGGACACATATTCTGAAGAAGTGTTGATTTCAGTGAAGATGAATCACTGCCCTTTTCAGAATGGATATGGTCTAATGCAACCAATTTATAACCAAGTGACTAATCAGTCTCTTCTCATGAGGGTTGGTCTCTCTTGCTGGCAGTTTAGACATTCAGCTGCCAAAGTGGCTTTATCAGCCTCTGTGGGTGAAAGCTCCTGCTGTTTAGTTTGTAGACAGTATCCTGCAACCATGGCTAGTCTGTTCATTGTACCAATAATAGATGTTGGATGACATCAACTGAATGAATCATTCTATTTGGTTGTTGAGCTTAGTGGGGAATATAGAGGCTAGGAGGATGCACCTGACACCTGGACAGCTAGGGAGGTGGGAGAAACCAGACTCAGCTCCATGTATAGTCAGCCCTCCACATCCATGGGTTCCACATCTGCAGATTCAACCAGCCATGGATCGAAAATATTAGAAGAAAATACAAATAATACAAATGTAAAGAACAATACTGTATAACAAAGATTTACATAATATTTGCATTTTATTGAGTATTATAAGTAATCTAGAGATGATTTAAAGAGTACAGGAAAATGTGCTAAGGTTATATGCAGATGCTATACCATTTTATATAAGGGACGTGAGCACCCATGGATTTTGGTATCCCCAGGGTGTCCTGGAACCAATCCCTCACTTATACCAAGGAAATACTGTACTGTAATACTGCTGTAAGACAGAGTATTGCTCTGTTCTCTTCAAGGGACTCTCCAACTGGAGAAAGGAACCATAGACCCAGGGAAATTCACATGTGGGAGTGACCTGAAATATCTAGTACCACTTCAGCATGAATGTGCCTGAGACTCTTCAAGAGAGGAGGACACATCCATAGTCATGCAGCTCTATATTGGGAAGGCAGAGATTTGAAACTAGACCTCCTGAATCACATCAGCTCCTGGACATGTTCCAAATTTATATATGATGGAATCCACATAGGGTAAAGCCACTGTAGCGGGGAGTTATTACAAGAAGCACTACCTACTGAGTTCAGAATAATTGTTTAACTGATTTATCCAAGACTTATGCCATGAATGATAGCCTGGTACTTTGCAATTGGCACATGAAAGAGAACACCTATTTTATATAACTTATTTATGATATTAGATATGACTTTTGTTGGGCCTCTCCCTTAATAAAGCAACTTAATCTAGATTAGTGAAAAATAGAATCTGATATAAAGATACACCCTGAATGTGCCCGATCTCATCTGATCTTGGAAGCTAAGTAGGGTCAGTCCTGGTTAGTACTTGGATGAGAGACCATGTGGGAATACCTCATGCTGTAGGCTTAAAATTAAATTAAAATTATAAATAAATAATTTAAATTTTAATTTAATTTTTAAAAATTATGTAGGTGTCCTTTAGAAGCAAAAATTCAGAAATGTGATTGTGTCCAGGGGTTAGGAAAAAGTAGAAATGAAGAAATGGGAACATGTGAGGATGCTCTCGTCATCTCTTATCTTTGCTCTTCTCTCTGTGACTACTCTTTCTTTTTTCTTTGCAGACTTGGTTTTTCTTTACCTCCCCAATCTACATAGTCAAACATGACTGCTCCATCCCTCCCAAGTTTGCATGTTATAGATTCAGTGACTCACTCCCTGGGTGACTAATGACAATCCGAAAAACCTGACAGAAAGATTCTGATTTATTTAGCTAGGGTCAGTGTCACCCAGCACAAACATGAGTGAATTACACTGTGGATGGGGAAGAGGAGCAGCTGAGGAAATGCCCAGAGAAATGGGATTATTGGCTCATAAGCTAGGAAGCCACCTGAAAAGGTGCTACAATAATAAATCTGAACTGATTCAGTCAAGTGTGGTATTGAATTCTGTTTCCAAGTGTCATAAGCCTTCCTTAGAGTAGTTATTTAACATATTTAATTAGTAGTAGAAACATTTATTTATTAATTGAGAGGTTACTCTTTGCTAGCCACTGTGCATTTTTTACATATACACATACTAATCCTCACAACAACTCCATTGGGTTGGTTTAATTATTTCCATTTTATCAATTAGGAAACTAAAGATCTGTAAGATTAAATAATTTTTCTAACATTCCTAAGATTAAACAGGCAGAGGCATCCCAAGTAGTTTCGAGCAATTGCTGCCAATGTTCAACCTAAAATCTTGAAGAGACAGAGAAGAGTGAGTTTGACCATCGGGGTCTGGATAGCAGCAAATATTAATCGTAGGTAAACAAACTTTGAATATAAACTTTGCATTTTAGTAATAATTTATCTAAATGAAGACTCATAAAGATTCTTTCATTGGCCCATATTATCTAGAGTTTGATTGGTATTGACATAACTCCTCAGCAAACTGGGGTAGAAATAGGTGGGCTCCATGTATACTAAGAGAATAAAAAGTTGCCCAAAATTGACTCTAGGATATGAAGCAGGAAATAATTAAACAGAAAACATTCTGAGCTCTTATAGTCAAAGAGGAGTTCTATTTAACATTTGGAATGTGTCTTAGTGTCAGTAATTTTCCAAAATAACAGATTGGTTTTCAGTTTGGACACCAATTAAGAAGTGACTTTTCCTCACTGTCATGCTCTCCATTGCACAGTAGAACAGAAAACAACATAATTGGCATATGCAAATTAAAACTGATCTGTACATGAACAAAGAAAGAAATATATTTTTTACAAAGTTTTAATTTTTATTGCTTATTTTTGCAGAATAAAAATAAAAATACATTTTAATAGTCACCCATCCTTAGTTCTACGTGATTGAGCACAACCACCCTCCTCATTTTAAAGAGTTGCTGTTCCATCCTCAATCACCCAAGAAAGCCCCATCCAAGTGCACAGCAGTTTGAAATATTGCTGTGTGAGACCACTGAGTAAGTGTATGCTTACCAAGTGGTCATTTCCTAGGGGGCCACTTGTGTGCAAAGAACCAAAAATACAGCGCTTGCTGTCACTATCACGGGGTGAAGCGTTTCTGACTCACCAGGTTTTTCACAGCGACCTTCACATCCTTGTTTCTGAGGCTGTAGATGATGGGGTTCAGCATGGGGGTCAGCACTCCATAAAAGAGGGAAATGAGCTTGTCTGAAACATCCTGTTTGTCTGCCCCCAGGGGGTCCTTTGATTTGGGCTTTGCATACATGAAAAGAATAGTCCCATAGAAAATGACCACCACAGTAAGATGTGCAGAGCAGGTGGAGAAAGCCTTTCGCCGCCCCTCAGCTGAGGGGATCCTCAGGATGGTGGTGAGAATGAAGATGTAGGAGACAAGGATGAACAGAACTGGGATCCCCAGGAAGATCACATTGGCCACCCCCATGCTGATCACATTGATGGAGATGTCAGCACAGGCCAACTTCAGGACAGCCAGGATCTCACAGGTGAAATGATTGATGACGTTGTCCCCACAGAAGCGTAATTGTACTGCAAGAGAGATCTGCACTAGGGAGTTGGCTCCACCAGCCACCCAGGAACTGACAGCCATGGGCACATAGGCAGACTTGCTCATGACCATGGGGTACCTCAGGGGGTTGCAGATGGCCACATAGCGATCAAACGCCATCATGCCCAGAAGCACACACTCTGTGGCTCCCATGGCAAAGGAGAGGAACATCTGCACAGCACAGGCTGAGAAGGGGATGGTTTTCCTGGGAGTGAGGAAACCATCCAGGACCAGAGGGACTGAGGAGGTCGTGTAGCAGATGTCCAGGAAGGAGAGGTTCCCCAGGAAGACGTACATGGGCGTGTGCAGGTGGGAGTCAGACACAGTCACCAGGATGAGGACCCCGTTGCCCAGCAGGATCACCAGGTACATCAGCAAGATGAGCACAAAGAATGTTTTCTCTAGTTTTGGATGGGCAGAGAGGCCCAGCAAGACAAACTCTGTCACAGTAGACCGGTTGGATATTTCCATTTCAAACTCTCTTTCATCACTAGCAATACTGAAGGTAGAAAATATATGTTTGCTGTAAGGTCACTGAGGAAGGAGACTCTAGCCAGGCTAAGGATGGAAAAAAAGATTTTGTTAGCAGAAGGCAAGCGGACCTCCTGGGCTGAGCTGAAAAATGGCCTCAGCGGAGAGGCAGTTGGGTGTCTTCTTTTGCAGGGCTAAGATTGGCATCTGAGCCTGGGAAGATGGTTACAATTGTTCCATTCCAGGTACAGCTTGCTCATGGGAACAGAGACTTAGGGAGACAGAAACCTTGGCCTAACAGAGGGAAACAGTTACAGTGTTACACTCTGGGTACAGCCTGCTCAGCCTGCTCATGGGAACAGAGTTTAGAGAGAGAGAAACTTAGAGGGGGCCGGCCCGGTGGCGCACTGCTACAGTGTGCCACTTGGGAGCGCGGCGGCGCTCCCGCCGAGGGTTCGGATCCCACATACAGACCGGTTCCCACTCACTGGCTGAGCGAGGTGCGGGAGCAACACCAAGGGTTGCGATCCCGTTGCTGGTCCCGGTCCGGTACGGGCACGACACTGAGGGTTGGGCTGGGGGCTTTCTAAAAGTCAGGCTCTCAGCTCCAGGGACCTAACATTTGCTTGAGTCAATACAAATACATGGGAATCGCAGTATGATGTCTCTAGAATTGTAAATAACCTTACCCTGTGAGATTCGATCATAAAACTGAGTTATCTAAAAGCCAGTCTGGGGGCCGGCCCGTGGCTCACTTGGGAGAGCGTGGTGCTGACAACACCAAATCAGGGTTAAGATTCCCTTACCAGTCATCTTTTAAAAAAATTAAAAAGAAAATTTTTTTAAATGTATGGCAGACCTGGAAAAAACAGATCTTGGAAATCTAATGAAACAATAAAATGAAGGATATTTCTGTTTGATCAATGATATTATACCTAAAGCAATGACATATATTTACATGTGCTATCTTCAGCACTTTGTAGGGAAGCAGAGACCTCTGAGTAACTCTGTCTCTGCCATATAATTGGAGACCTCAGGCTATCACAGCTCAGTGACCTTGGCCATTGAGGTCGCATGGCCCATTCCTCTGGATCTGGTTCATCCTCAACCAGAAAGTTTCTATTATAATTTGATTTCCCACGTGGACACTTTTATAAAGGGAGAGAATGTTTGAAAACATAGTTTCTTATCTCCTTAACAGTTTTGTTTCTTACTCAGTGTCTCGTGTATACTTAAGTCTTTTGTGAATTTAGTTAGTGTAAATCAGTTCATCTGATCTTGACCCTCTTCTCTGGATAATCTGACCAAATACAATTTCTGGAGCCTATAACATGGAGTCCATACCAAAGTCTCCAGAAATCTGTTCTGGAGAGGAGGACTCGTGTGTTTCCTCCTGGAACCACACCTGACCTGCCTGCATCTTTGCTGCTCTGGAATTTGGCCGGAGGAATAGAATCTTACCTGATTGTTGGAGCCCACTCATAATTCACATCCCCAGCCCTGGCTGAGTCATGCCCACGTCAAAATCAATGGGAAATGCCATCCAACGTCGTTTGGAGGGTTTGCAGACATGTTCACATGCAAATCTATTCAACCTCCCAGAATAACAAAAAAAAAAAACTGCATCATTGGTCATCACAATTTTACTGCTGAAGAGATTCAGAACACCATATGTCATCAGCCTCTGTGGCAGGGTGCCAAGATGGGATGGAGCTGGCTGCCAAGATGGGATGTAGCTACCCAAGTGCTGGTTAAAAATACTGACTTCTGGGTTCTTTGCAGATCATCTTAGCAATTTGTTTTTACTTTGTCGGCTTGTTTGTTTTGTTTTTAAAATAAATGTTCCCCATGTAATTCTGATGTACACCAACCAGTCTTGGGATTCGCTGATCTATTTCAACCGTCTTCGTTTAAAGGTGGAGAAACTGATCTAGGAGAGAGGTTTGTGAATTGCACATGGCCCTCAGCTTGTGTACTTCCATACACTAAAAGGAGCTTTTCTCTAAAAATAGTTCTCCATTCTTTAATTCCTGATATCATGAGATGACCTGTTTTGGCAGAATCTTCAGATATTAAACCAATCTAGCCCCCACCCCTAAGCCATAAGTCTCAGAAATCTCCTATTCAATTAGTGGTTTCTCAGCCTCGGCTTGAACATTTTGAACAAGAGGGGGCTCACAGCAAAGTCATTGTCAGGAAGCCTGAGTTGTTTGGGTTATTCAGGGACCTGAAATCTGCCTTTTTCTAACTTCTCCCTTCCCCCACTCATTCTAAGTCTGCCTTCTAGGCTTGTGCAAAACATGCCTACTCCCTTGCTACAGTTGCAGCCTTCAGGGCTTTGGAAATAGTTGCCTTGTCCCCCAACCTAGTCCTACCCCCAATCCCCTCCCTGCACAGCCCTCTTTGCGCACGGCTTCTTTTCTTCTCGACTAGTGAAGAGGTCACTCAGCACTTACCCAATTTGGGGTCCAGTCTAGGCTGGAGCTATTGCTTGCAGGAAAGAAGGCCAGTGGAGTGAGTAGGGAGGCTCCAGTTTACCAGGGTCAGGTAAGTGACTGGCTCTAGTGTCACCTGCCCATTTGGGTGCTACCTAATCCAAACCAAGCAGGCCGTCCAGGCCATATCTCTCAGAGCTGCCCCAGCAACACCTGGGTGCACACTTCTGACATGGGCATATACTCTTTAACAATCTGCTTCCAGGAGTCTTGAAATGACCCTGAGTTAAGGGTCCCAGGTACAGCTCTAGCCCCAGAAGCCCTTGCCTAACCTTGGGGCTCAGCGAGACAAGGAGACAAAGGCTGGCTTTTAAGCCTGCAGTTCAGCCAGGAGCCTCAGGCTGGAGGAGGCTACATCCCAGGGCAGGCTGGAAAGCCATGCCCAGCCTCTGGGCCTAGCACCTTCTCCTGTCTGTGCTCCACACTGCTCTCCAGAGAGTCCCATAAAGATTCTCTCGGGAATTTAGGGCTAGATTGCTCTGGGGCCAGGACCTATCCCAAAAGCAACTTAAAGCTTGAAGAGAGGCTGAGAGTTTAGACTTCACCCCATAGACCCAATTAGACCATGTTGTGGAAATCTATCCAAAGTTCCCCTCTCACTACAAGGAAAGCTCAGTGCAGAAGGTTTTCTGGTGTCAGGTACTCAGAGTTCTCCTGAGTTTGATCACAACAATTGGCTCAATGTGCCTCTATCACCAGCCCTCAAAGAGCCCAGAAGGGAAGAAGAGCTTGGCCTCAGTAATTAAAATATTTCCAGGAACTTTGGGTCAAACAGATTCCCTGGACAGCCAAGCACCTCCTGCCCTCCACCCAGTGACCCAGCTCACTCTCTCTCTCTCTCTCTCTCACTCACTCTGATACAAGCTCTCCCATCACTCTGAACAATGTCTATGCTACCAACCTCTCATATGTGCAAGATCTTGTACCAGGCACCAAACAGTTGGAGTGGATGGGGGACATGATGACCAGAAATGGGTCTTTGTCTTCAGAGAGTGCCCAGCAGAGTGGAACTATATGTAGACCAAAGCATGACTGACAGTGCCACCAAGCTGTCCAGGAGGCTGGGCATAGGAGGAGTGTGCAGAACTAGCACATTATAAAAATAACAGGGATGAAGAAGAGAGTGGTCCTGCGAGACATTTAGGAGGAAGAAACTGTAGAATTTGGAGATGTATCTGGGGTAGGAGATGTAGGAGAGAAGAATCAATAATGGCTAAGATACCTGATGGGTTCAGGACATGCTACCCCAAAATGTGACACCTTGGCATATGGAATGTTTTAAGATGAAGGAATCTGAGAAACAGCATGTGCAGGAAGAGCTCTCTGACCTTTCCCTACCTTCTCCCCTGAAGCAGGTCATAAGAGCTTCAAGTATGAGGTGCCCTCCCTGTACCTGGAAAAAAGGAGCCTCCTTATCTCCAAAGACACAGGGAGGGACATGGGGAGGCACAGAGGAATCCGAACAAACAGGCCTGACATTTTCCCCCACTTTACCACACTTAGTTCATTCTTTTCTGCCCTATTATACTTCACTACTTTCCATTCTTCATCAAACTTCCTATAAAAAAACACTCAGGGGCCGGCCCGTGGCTCACCCGGGAGAGTGCGGTGCTGATAACACCAAGGTCCCGGGTTCGGATCCCATATAGGGATGGCCGGTTGGCTCGCTGGGTGAGCGTGGTGCTGACAACACCAAGTCAAGGGTTAAGATCCCCTTACCGGTCATCTTTAAAAAAAAAAAAAAAAAAAAACACTCAGGTTTAACCTATTTCTCGGGGTCTTCGTTTCTTTATGAAGGTTCCTATGTCATATAAAATTTATATTGAATGAATTTATATGCTTTTGTCTTGTTAATCTGTCCTTTGTTTCAGAGGCTCTAACTAATAAACATAAGATGAGCACAAGTGTTACAGGGCACACAAGTCCGGCTACCTGCCCCCTTTCAAAAATAAGCAGCTCAGAAGTCAACTGCTGGTGAAAATGAAAGTCAGCTTTTATTCAGGAATACTAGTGACCTGAGGGGAGATGTTAGGCTAAGCCATCTCTCTGGTAAACCTGAAGGAGACTGTCCAGGCCAAAGCCATCTCAAAGACTCAAGTTTACTGAGGGGCTTTTAAAGAGGGGGCTCAGGGAATGTAACATAGGAAATGAAAAGCAGTAAGGAAGGAGACGTGAGTTGCAGGGGCTTCGTGCAAGGAGCCAGGTACAAGGTCTCACCATGACTCCATCTGGTTTCTGCTCCCGTCCTTATCTCAGGGTCCTACAGGATAGCACATGCTTCATTGCAAGTCTGCAGCCTCAGACAGGCTGGAAAACAACTCTACATTTATGTAAATAATGTCATCTTGCCCCATAACCAAGGTTCAAAATATCAAATAACCATGGGGGAAAAAAAGGAAACTCAGAGAAATGCATGCCAAGAAAAAAACTGTGCCCTTTTAAAACCTTTTAGAGCACATGCAGTTTTAGATCCCAGCATGGCTTCAGTCCTGCTCACTCCAACAGCTTCTCCACTATCAATAGTTC